TGAGTGGTCAAAGCTGCGCCCTAGGTAGCAGTGCACCCTAGGCAGCTGCCTAGTTTGCCTACTGGCAGCATCGGCCCTGATTGCCTGACTGTTATACTGATCCAGTTGCTTCAGTACTAAACCAAATCACATTTCCAGATCAGGAAAAGTCAGACATCCTGATCTGCTTACTGCTGCGTCAGGGACTTAAATTATCGATGCAAGCAGGTCAGCACGACAGCCAGGAAATTAGGATTTTATGGAGAGCTCATTGATGGCAGATTCCAGGTTTCTTCCATGACCATTCGTATCATGTCTACAAACCTTTACATCAAATGTAACAAAGAGGAGGAGAAAACAGCATGGAGGGATCTGGATCCAGAAGCTGACAGGTGTGAGTCGTGGTTTGGGCAGTGATGGGATGTTGGGTTTTCCTGCATCCTCTGGATCAGCTCTCCAGCAGCACGAGATGCCATAAGAAGACTTCGCCGCATCAGCACCACTCACCGTCCATCCAGCTCCATAGATAGAAGCGTGTGCTGGGGCGCCATCTAGCGGCCGACATCTGGAACTTCACGCCAGTTCCTCAACCCCCTTGTCAGCTTTATTCATTAATCCGAATGTGAGTTGTCAGTGAGCGGTGCGGACTGCTGGGACTGTCTCCTCCTCACTCACTCTCCTCCAGTCTGCAAGCCGGAGTGCTTCCTCCACTGCAAGCTCTGGTGCTGCCCTCTCCTCCCTGGGCATGAATGGGAGGCTGCACAGTTCTGCCATATGGATGTCTAATTAAACTGAGGCTGGGGACTCCGGGCGGATTTTCCCTCCCCTCTCATATTACAGACACTCTGAAACTTGGAGTTGATCCTGTTCATCGTTGCACAGCCTAGAGCATTGCACCTCACTGCACAGGAGAGACACATTGCACAGGAGGCACAGCCTGGGCTGCACAGGGGAGACAATTTGGTGGTCCTGAATGTGGATTATTGAAACAATTGCCCCTGGACTGGGCACCTGCACCTGGTTGCGTGCAGTTTCGGATTATTTTCTCCAGCAAGAGAGATCAGATACTTGTTGATATTTTAGGAAGTTTCCAGAGATCACCTTTGCCATCTCAGAACTGCTTTGGGTTTCTAAGCCAAGTGCCTACAGGTATCTTCTACCTAGGGGTGTCCTATGGGCACACACAGTGAGATGGCATAACTTGCTGCTGAAGACACCAACGGCTGGATCATGGAGGGATTGGGCAGTAATTGTGTGAACAACTCTTGGGGGAACTCCAGCCTGGACAGCAGGAACCAAAGTGGGAACATCACCAGGGACCCTCTGAAAAGGAATGAGGAGGTGGCAAAGGTGGAGGTGGCTGTACTGGCCGTCATCTTGTTCTTGGCCCTGGCTGGGAACATTTGTGTCCTGATAGCCATTCACATCAACAGGCACAAGCATTCCCGCATGTACTTCTTCATGAAACACCTGAGCATTGCAGATCTGGTGGTGGCCCTCTTCCAGGTTCTCCCCCAGCTCATCTGGGATATCACCTTCAGGTTCTATGCCCCAGACATCATGTGCAGGCTGGTCAAATATCTTCAGGTGGTGGGAATGTTTGCTTCCACCTACATGCTCCTGCTGATGTCCCTGGACAGGTGTCTGGCCATCTGTCAGCCCCTGAGATCCTTACACAGAAGGTCGGACTGTGTCTATGTCCTGATCACCTGGATCATCAGCTTCCTCTTTAGTGTCCCTCAGATCCTCATCTTCTCCCTCGTGGAGGTGGGCAATGGGGTGCATGACTGCTCGGCTGACTTCATCCAACCCTGGGGGCCCAAGGCTTATATCACCTGGATTACTTTGTCTGTCTACATCATCCCAGTCCTGATCCTCAGCATCTGCTATGGGCTCATCAGCTACATGATTTGGCAGAACATTCGCCTGAAGACAGTCTGTGAGAGTAACCTGAGGCTGAGCAGCAGCAGAAGAGCCACCTTGTCCCGGGTCAGCAGCGTCCGACTCATCTCCAAGGCCAAAATCCGCACAGTAAAAATGACTTTCATCATAGTGTTGGCTTATATCCTATGCTGGACCCCTTTCTTCTATGTCCAGATGTGGTCGGTCTGGGACCCTGAAGCACCGAAAGAAGGTAAGAAGGGGTGACTGCTCCACCCATTGCTGGGACAAGGTTCTAGCACCCAAGGTGAAAAGTCCAAAG